GGGCCAGCCCAGGACGATTCCGATAACCCTCCTTCCTTCCTTGAGCTCACTGGTATTAATGATGGGCCATAGGCAGTGTTCCCTCTAAGCTGAGTTAGTGCGAGCTAGCTCACAGTTTTTTAGCCTCCGGCTCACACATTTTTGTCTTTGCTCAGGGAGGACGGCTCCAGAGCAAACTGATTTATGCAGCAGCCAAATCGCTTGCTCACAACTTTAGTGCCAGCAGCTCACAAAGTAGAATTTTTGCTCACAAGACTCCACAGCTTAGAGGGAACATTGGATAGGTATAGCCATATCCATTCCAATTATTCTGGTAACTGAGATTTCTTAATACCAGTAACACAATTACAAACATAGAAGGATACAACATCTGGTCTTTATATAAGTGCACTAGAGATCTTGTATACATATGTTGGAATGTGTGTCTATACTATGTTGTAATAGTGACCACTGAGGCAGGCCCTTTGAGGCCGAAACACGTTTGGTCTTCGGTTGGAAAGTGTCGGCCCAACTTGTGTATTAATATTTGATATGCTTTTATTAGTCTGATACTTGAAAAAAATATTTTTTAACCCGAATATATTTTAATATGTGTACACCCTAATTAATTTTGTACTTATATAATATACATGGTCAGCTTAACACATCCTAAACTCACCGCAGGGGGAAAACGCAAGGGCTGGGCAAACCGCCTTCCGTGGAACCTGAACCTGCCACCCCTGCCCTTTCCATAAACTACCAAGGACCACGTCAGGACTTGAAGCTGCCACCTATATGTCAGACCTTCAGCCTATTATCTGTCCTGGCAGCAGCTCTCCGGGTTCTTGGCGCCGAGAGGTCTTCTCCAGTATCTACTGCTTGAGACCCTTTAGGTGGAGATGCCCAGGACCAAACCCGGGACCTTCTTTGTGTCAAGCGGGTGCTTGACCACCAAGCCCTGTCCTCCTTATCCGCCAGCTTGGTGGCTGGCCAGAGCAGATCAGGGCCCTTGCTAAGTGCAGCATCTGTGCGGGAAGAAGGCAGGGAAGTTTCCCCCTGCATCCATCAGAAGAGACATTCCAGCCCAGCCAGGACTCAGTTGAACAAGAGCCCCACTGGATCAGACCAGTGGTCCATCCAGTCCAGCATCCCGTCTCACACAGTAGCCAACCTGTTCCTCTGGAGGGCCAACAACAGGGCAGAGAGGCCGAGGCCTTCCCCTGAGAAGAACCTCAAAAGAGCCCTGCTGGATCAGACCAGGGGTCCATCCAGTCCAGCATCCTGTCTCACACAGGGGCCAACCTGTTCCTCTGGAGGGCCAACAACAGGGCACAGAGGCCGAGGTCTTCATAGGAACCTAAGAAGAGCCCTGCTGGATCAGACCAGTGGTCCATCTAGTCCAGCATCCTGTCTCACACAGTGGCCAACCAGTTCCACTGTAGGGCCAATAACAGGGTACAGAGGCCGAGGTCTTCATAGGAACCTAAGAAGAGCCCTGCTGGATCAGACCAGGGGTCCATCCAGTCCAGCATCCTGTCTCACACAGTGGCCAACCTGTTCCTCTGGAGGGCCAACAATAGGGCACAAAGGCTGAGGTCTTCATAGGAACCTAAGAAGAGCCCTGCTGGGTCAGACCAGTGAGGGTCCATCCAGTCCAGCATCCTGTCTCACACACTGGCCAACCAGTTCCACTGGAGGGCCGACAACAGGGCACAGAGGCCGAGGCCTTCCCCTCCTGGCTCTGGGATTCAGAGTTTGACTGCCTCTGAACGTGGAGGTTGCCTTTAGTCACCACAGCTAGTAGTCATGGATAGACTTCTCCTCCGTGAATCTGTCTAATCCCCCCTTAAAGCTGTTCGTTTCTGTGGCCATCACTACATCCTCTGGCTGCCAGTTCCGCATTTCAATCGCTCCTTGTTTAAGGGAGCGTGTCTTTTGTTCCGTTCCAAACCTACTGCCCACCGTCTTCATCGGATGCCCTCGAGTTCTAGTCTTTTGGGAGCGGGAGAAGAAGTTCCCTCCTCCAGCACAGAAACCCAAGGCCGTCCCTGGCTGAGATCTGGAGCCCTCCTTTCTCCGCATCAGCCACAGACCTCTTCAGAGTCACAGACAATGTTCCCTCTAAGCTGTGGAGTCCTGTGAGCAAAAATTCTACTTTCTGACCTTTCTGGCATTAAAGTTGTGAGCTGGCAATTTGACTACTGCATACATCAGTTTGCACTGGAGCCACTCTTCCTGAGCTGAGACAAAGAATGTGTGAGCTGGAGGCCAGAAAACTGTGAGCTAGCTCACACTAACTCAGCTTAGAGGGAACACTGGTCACAGATCTCAGGCCAATAGCCTCCATCTGCGGGCAGCGCAGGATTCAAGCTTCCTCCTGCCCCAGAGTCCCGTGCCCTTACGGCCGTTCTCAAGGACCTGAACTTCACCCACCATCCTTATTCACCCTTTTCAACACCTCCCCCCTCCCCCTGCCACCAAATTCCTCTCTTGCATTCCGCTTCCAAAACGCCATCAAAGTCTCGCAGGGCGCCCAGCTGGACCTCCTCCGGAAAACGTCTGCCCGGGTGAAGGTCAGGGTGCCCGGTCGGGGCCGGGCGTCCTTTCCCATCACGGACTGTCAGCGCTCCCAGGAACCAGCCGTGCATCAAAGCGACCTGGGAGGGAGGCGACGGATGCGGCACGACACCTGCACGGATTCCTGGGACAGCGGGGTGGGGGGGAGCCCTCCGCTCTGCAGGGCAGAGGCACTTTTATCAGGCCCCGCTTCCTGGCCCCCGCCTCCAAATACCAAAGCACCTTCAAGGTGCTCGAGGGCTCACGTTCCCGCCACCACCGCCCCCCCCCCAACTTCCTGGGGCACGGCGCACTCGGCAGCCAAAGCAAGCCGGCGGGCTTTCACCACCGGCCGTGGCCGGACACCTGCTGCTTCCACCCCACTTGACCCTTTTGCTGACGGGCTGGACTGACCCTGTGGGTCTCAGCTGCTCCGGGGGGGAGGGCTGCATTCTGGAAATCGACAGACAGCAGTGGAATCTAGGGGCGTGCGTGTTCGCACTGCCCACCAGTGAGATATCACATTTCTGGGGGAGCTCCCGCAGTGCCCACGGTGAAAAGGACACAGCACAGAGATCCTGCACCGGAAGGCCAAGACATCCAGAGCAAGAAGGCTCAGATGGCGGAGGGGGGGACGCCCCCCCAAGCACTGCCGTGAAGTCGTGCAGTAAAGCACTTTGGAGGAAATTCTGAGTCCAAGTCTCTCAAAAAAAAAAAAACCCAACTCTTTAGCTTGCATGTGGCTCAGTGATCATGAAAATCGGAAGCACAACTCCCCAGAGACACAAAATAACTTTGAATATCAATTGAATATCAATACGAAAATAGTATCTTTGTGACCATCATCATATTAATATTCAATTGATACTCAAAGTTATTTTGTGTCTCTGGGGAGTTGTGCTTCCGGTATTCTGACGACCGGTTCCTCCCCATCCGTGTTTCTTACTGCAGGTGGCTCAGTGGCAGGGGGCGTCTGCTGATCAATACAGAAGGCCCCAGGTTCAATCCCGGCATCTCCCGTGAGAAGGGTCAGGTGGGCAGGGGAAGGGAAAGGCCTCGGCCGGAGAACTTGAAGAGCTGGTGCTGGTTTGAGTAGACAAGACTGACTTCAAAGGACTGATGCTCTGATCCAGGATAGGACAGTTTGAAGTGTGTGTATTTTGGGAGGGGCCGTGGTTCAGTGGAACGGCCTCTGCTTTGCATGCAGAAGGTCAGAGGTTCAGTGCC